TAAACGTTCCTTTCGACACTCAGAAAGCTTCAAAGAATTTAAAAGTAAGAAATTTAAATGATTCATTAAGAAAAATTTGTTCTCTCCCATAAGAAAAGCATTGTTTCCGACATTTCTGGTTTTCGCGGCAGTAATGCTGACGTCATGCGCAGAAGATTCTCATTTGGGTTTCGGGAATGACTGACCTATATGGATGGATCTTGATCACAACTAACAACAACTTGCCTGTTGAAGGACGCGCGGCGCGCGCATCCAGACTCCTGCATTTCTCCGCAACTCCAAACGCACTACACACGCGGCTAGATGCGCTCGCCTGGACTCGTTCCCGACTCATTTTCGTTCAACCGCTAGAGACGGTGGATGAACACCGTGAGAAGCGCGCTTGCGCTTATCAACTCAGTCTCCAATCTGCCGCTAGAGACTGTGGACGGAGACTGTAAGGCCTTGTCTCCACGGCGCAACTGTTGAGGGAAGTTGGCGCAACTGTTACGAGTTTGTTGCACTAATCGAAGTTCCCTGTCTCGACGCACAGTCATGTGTTCCTGGAACTTTTAGGCGGGAATATTTGAACAACGTTAATTTTTTTAGGTTAAACGATGTCAATTGAGGTAACTGAACTGATAATTATGAACGGGAGGTGAATAATTTGCGTTATTTCGACCAGGTATAAAACAAAAAACAATAACATAACACAGATATGGAATAAAAGAAAATATATTCGATAAAATTTTATTTTTCTGCTGTAGTGATATGCTACATACGAAAATGTAAAGTTGATACTGAAATGTATATAAATATTTCTAAATATTAACCGCTCCGAAATAAAACACCCGTAATAAACTCCCGCTTCACGTGTAACCAGCGGTTATCAATTCAAAATACGAAGGTAAACAACTGTTGAGGTTCCAGGTTTCTGACCTTGAAAGTTTCTGTTATAAGTGAAACATTTTTGAGACACTTCCTTCCTTCAACAGCTGCGCCAACTTCCCTCAACAGTTGCGCCAACTTCCCTCAACAGTTGCGCCGTGGAGACAAGGCCTAAGGAGCGCGCTTAGCAATGCCATCTTCAATCTACTGCTACATTTTGTGGATAACGCGAGTATTGGAGCGAGCTCCTGTACGGGCTAATGGATCCAAATGACGGAGCTCAATCTTGCTAACTGGGTAGTGGGCGTGACGCGCAAAATTCAGCAACGATTCCAAAGACACTATTGAATCCTATGGTTCAAACTGCTTGTTTTGATCAAGTGTTTAGAGGTTAGTTTTCGCGTAAACCCGTAAACAAAGGCAGACGGTTTAGTGTCAAGTGTCAACCTCCAGTCAAATCCTGGAAATTAAATGGTTTTTGGATTTAAAACTTCGATTTATCCTCAAGAAGTGAACTAGCAATTTCCCCAATAATAATGCCTGCTCATTTCAGTTCGTGAGTGTCTTTTGTTTGAAGTTCAGCTCATTGAGTTCCCAGCAGGAATGTTGCAATTCTCACCAGAAAGTGACAATTTGCTCATTGAAATCTTAAGATAAAGATAAAAGGAAAGGTAAGTCAGTTTACAAATTAACAGATACCTTGTCAGATAATCAGTTACTTCAAAGATCATTTGATGTTTCAAGCATGCGACAGTTTCTTTCAGTACTAGTTCTCCTATCTCTCTCGAGAGAGAAAGGGGCTGCCTCTTACTTCTTTCGTATTGCTGCACTCTGAAGGAAGTGAGTATGTTTCACAACTGGTATTCCAGTCAATTCCTAAAATGATCTATTGCATGGTTTCAATAATTACATGCAGCGTTTGAAGTGGTTTTACCATCCTATCAAACGCAGCATTGATTGTCCTGTTTGAAGGACTGCCAACATGATGAGGTTTGGAACTATCAAGTCCTTTCTACGCAATGCCATGAACCGTCCCATAGAGGGTCCAACGACAAAAACTTTATGTGAAGTGCTGCCTGAGTTAACAAGACACCATTGGTTGTTGGCTAAGGAGATTGAAATTAGGGTGATTGCAACAAGCAGTATTCAAATGAACAGCAATGTACGATAGCAAGACCATGACAAAGCAATGTGAGAATTGCTTCCTGTTTATTCAACAAATTAAATGAGAAACTTCATAGAAGTATTAACTGTCAGTTTCTAAGAGGGAATCACTTCATTAAGTTCCCATACAAAGCAAAGCACAGGCAAGTAGAAGGGGCTTTAGTAGAAGAGCCCCACCATGACAAAATTGTCAATCAACTTCCGAGACACCCAGTGGACGCTCCGGTCCGACCTACTCCCCTCCACACTCCCTCGCGCGATTTACGTACCCTATTGCCGTGCTGCCAAAACCCCTAAAATCAACAGTCAAGCCAACGAACCAAAATAAAGTAACCAAACCTAACCTAACCTAACCTAACCTAACCTACCCTAACAAGAAAAACACGAAAAATACAAAATGAGAAAATCGAAATCAGAACTAACGCAAGTGTGACGGGCAGTTACTGAATAGACTCCGCCGCTCTGAACTTTGACCGAACATCACACCACCGACCTCACACATTCTTCCTCCCTCCCCACCCATCATTTTCCGGCTGCAGTTTGTTTACCCGTTTTGCAACCGCACTCAACCAGCCGTCCACCTGAAGCGTCCACCGGGTGTCTCGAAAGTTGATCGACAATATTGCCGTGGTGGGGCTCTTCTACTAAAGACCCAAGTAGAACTTTATAAAATAGAGAAGGAAAATAAACATTACTTAAGGGAGTCAATTGCAAATTTGGCTTTATTTTTTTTTAAGCATCGGTATGTTGAAGTCCTAATTAACTGATTTCTTGGAATTCTAAAACTTTGCTGATTCTCAGCTAGTCATTGAAGTCAGTGTAATAATTAGATTTTTAAAGTAATTACTTTTATTTAGTTAGAAGTTAGTTTTTTATTAATCTGAGGTTGGATATTTTTCTTTTTCCAGTATGTGAGACTGCTTGTTATCTTCCTGCCGAACGATCGTATTAGTGGAATCCAAATATAATGCTCTTAATAGTTTCTGCTCAGCTCATCCTGGAGACTGATGTCCCTCTCCTCAATGTCTTCATTTCTGAATACTTATTTTCCAGCAAACGAAGGTAAGCAAGGAATAAAGAATGAAAAAAAAAGTTTCATTTATTTGAAGTCTAAGCTTTGAAGTGATGTAAAAGAAGCAATTAGTAGAGCAGCAAAGCAGAACAAATTTAAGGGTTTCAGCAAACGAACATATTTTATTGATCTCATAATCAGAACATTGTTTGTACATAGCCTACATTTAGTTATTTTCCAAGATCACCAAATAAAATGTAAGTGAAGATGAACAGACAGGACTTGAAACTTCATTAACATTTTGGTTGCTTCAAGAGAGAATGCGAAAATCTGTCAAATTCTTGAATGTTTTCAACAAAAATGATTTGAAATATTAAATAACAAAATCTTAAACTTTACCTACATAGTACAATACATTATTTTAACATTTAGGTATCATGAGTTAAATCTCTGTGCAACTTACCTACATTTTTCTGAGGAAAATCAAAAATTGTCTAACTGCTCCTTGAGAATAAATATTTCTGAAAGAGAAAAACATCATCAGCCTCCTGGCTGTCTTATGCATAAGAAGCGATTTCTAAGTACGAAGTTACAACAATGAATAATCAACAATATCACACCAAAAAATATTAATCTATGGCTACATAGGACACATCGTTACAAAATTTATCATTACATAATTATCTTTCTCACATTTTGCCTTCTTTTTAATAGGAAAAAGAAACAAACCAAGTCATGGCGTCATAAGAACAAAATATCCACAAAGAAACATATAAGAACAGACTCTTCTTAATTCTTGAGATGAACACAGTCTTTTAAATTTCTGAGTACTACCGTCAAAAGAAGAGGGGAAACACTGGAAAAACAAATGGCAAGTTTCAAGAACTGGTGCCTCTCACAACAACATCACAATATTGCAATCGATAAATCTTGTCATTGCAGGTAATTAATGCTCGCCACTTACTAGTTTTAAGCAAAAACTAAAAGAGCCCTCAAGCTGATCATGCCCTCCAGAAGTAGGAAGAGCATTCCCTCACGGAGCGCCCACAAACACTCTACCTTCTCACTTTTGAAATTGGTTTGTCACTTTTGAACTACCTCTTGCCTTCAATTTTGTCGGGAGAAGCTTCGAAACTTTTTTCCTTCGAGCTTGTACTGTTACTCTCGGAGTGTTTTTCAGTACCTTATTCCTTTCTCTTATTTTAATCAGAGTAATTGTTCGGATGAAGTAACTGAGTACTTTATCTGGAACCAATGCTGGTGTTTGTGGTCTGGCAAGATTGAAAAACCGCTCAAGCACCTGCGGTTTCCGGTCCATACTAGTTCCATGGAAGGCATCATGCAATGCATCTACCTTCTGCATTGCCTCTAGGAACTCATCAGTGGGTATTGTCAGATGATTACGTGTTCGGAACTCTGTCCACGAAGTTTGCTCCTTCTCGGATTCGGAAGTGACGACTCTTGATGGTCCTGCAGTCTCTTCGGAGACATCCTGAGATTTCTGGCCACTCTCTAAATCCTTGTTCACAAAGGTATCCTGTCCAGTTCTCTGTCTTTTTGGACTAGTTGCTTCCTCCTCCTCTCCATCTTTGGGAGTGGTACGCTTCTGCTGCGGTTTTTGCAACTCAGGATACTTCAAGCGAAACTTGAAAGCTATGAAGCCGACGAAATCCCGAAAAGCTTCCTTCTCGATTTCATCCAGAATTGCTCTTTCCTCCTCTGGGCGCTCATCTTCTGAGTCTTCGCCACCACCAGTCTCTTTCACTACCTCCTCCAAGTTGGCCATCATTTCAGCAGTTATGCACGTGGCACTGTCAGGTTTATTAGCAAATTCTTCAGCATTTTCTTCTTCAGCATGTGAGTCATTATTCTTTGGCGCGGAACCAGTTTTAGCATGTTTCCTCAACGTCTTTGTAGGGGTTAAAAGGTTGGACTCTTGCGTTGGCTCCTTTGTGTTTCGTCCTCCTACAAAAGCGACACTTGAATGTCTGCCAAGAATGTAGTTTTTCACGTGATTCTGAACGTCCGTTGGAAGTGGGTCATCGTTCAGACCACCAGCTCTTCTTAAAAATGCAAAAAAATTCTCAAGACAGTCTTGATTCAATCTTTCGGTAAGGATATACTCGATTCCATAGGTTTCCTTTAAATATTCATATAAACCTCTGAGAGCATTGATGGAAAATAGGACTCCTCTTTGGCAAGGTAGAATAGCCTTAGGAATCTTCGGTTTAATCTCCCTCATATCCTTTACCATCCGATACATTTTGTCAAGAGCTTCATTTTGTTCTTTTAAGTAGATGCCATATCCGCATCGTTCCTTTTTAGCATCGAATTCGTTGCTAGAATTGGAAACGTCAAACCAATCGTTTGTCGTTCTGATAAATCTTGCTGCTGCTGCATAATTTCTGTATTTTAATTTTCCATTGTCGCCACACCACTGGATAGCATTTGCAACACTCTCTGATAATAGCCGCACAGCAGTTTGCACACATTGTCGCTCATTATCCTTAACATCAATGTGTTTTTGACATATTTTGTGGCTTAACTTCCATATTCTGGTGTTTAGCTGAAGTAGCTCTTCAATTACCATTTTCGAAATCGGCGTGTACTTTCTGCTAAGGACATTTTTGGGACTACCGCTGTTGCATGGTTCCTCAATATCTTCTTCCCTTGCTTCGTCTTCATCTGGAATCAGATAGCCTGTATCAAGGAAATGATCTCTCAGCTTTTTTATGAGGTGAGGAATGTCCGCAAACCAAAAGATCTTTTTCTCGGGATCGCAAGGATGCTGAAACCAGGGTTTTTCGATATCCCACCAAAAATCTTTGTATAATCCTCGGTTTTCTCCTGCCATGTCAGAAACAACTGCAACAACTGTGTATCCTGCTTTGTACAGTTTTGCAATTAATTCATCAAGGAGATCTTTGGTCATCGGCTTATCAAACCCAAAGTAGATGGGCTGCTTGTAATGCTCCATCAAACCCCTCATCATTACTGTTAGAACCTTTTTGTGGGGCCCTATTATCCTCTCATCATCAAAATCAAAACATTGTTGTTCACGAATTGACATTTCATCAAAGGACAAAGTTACAAGCCGATTTCTTTCTGACTTTTCTTTCGCTTTTATTGCCATTAAATTAATTACGTCATCCAAAACTCCTTCTTTGACTCTAACCTTTTTGGCCCATCTCAGCAATGTCTTAGGGTGAGCATATGGGTGCTTTTTAATTAGCCGCATATACTTATAGGCCTTTGGGCTTATGCTATGGAAAGAAATCATTTCTGAAATGTCCTGCGGCGCATATGAGGGACGAACCTTGATTCCTTTGCTATCATTTATGATTGTCTCAACTTGCCCCGGGGAGAAGTATTTCAGCAGAATTTGTTTGGTGGCTTTCTCAGTTCTTTCATCTCTTTCTTGAAGTTCCTTTGCCTGCCGTTCTTGCTTTTCCAAGAGACTCTCAATATAAGATCTTTGCCTTTTAAGCTCCTCTGTTGTTGCAGCAAGCCTTTCTTTCAGCTCTTCATTCTCGAATCTGCAGCAAATAAAATATAATGTGAAATAGTGATACGGACTAAAAGCTTAGTTTAGAAAGCTCGCATGTTTTGTATTTTTTAATCTTTTGAAAATTTCTGGAAGTATAAAAAATGTGTTTTCTTCGAGGAAAATAGTTTTCAGGCTTTAGGCAAAAATTTAATTTTTCTCTGTGAAATTTTTTGGGACCTATCATGAGGATAATGTTGGCAAATGTTGGGTTGTTTGAAAACAAAACATCTCTTGAATTATTTTCAGTGGCTTATCTCTCAAAGCACAAAAAACTTTGAAACTTCAGTAAGACTGTTAGTCTCTTTGTGATAGTTTTAAAAGCACCAATAATATTTTCGAATCACAAAATTGTATCAGCCACGATCAGTTTTCCTCTTCTTTGGCTTATTTTTCTTTAAAGTTCGGTCGCTTTTGAGATGATAGACTTAAGCAAGATCATCCAATTTTATTTGCTCAATATAAACAACAAAATGTGACTTACTTCAATTGGAGAGTGCTGATTCGCTCGCCACTATTAATTGATGCTGACCTCAAGAGCTCTTCATTCTCTTTAGAAATTTTTTCCGATTGCTGTGTATTAGCTTTTTGACGTTCTTCGCTTATATTATCCCTAGAAAAAACAAAAACACAATCATACATGCTGTCAGGCAACCAATCACTTCTTTCCTTGATAATTCTAATCACCTTTTATCGTATTAACATAGTGTGCAATTCCCAGTACCCTGAACAAATTAACTCTGTAAGTCCCAATTAAATTTTGCGAGTTCTTTCTGGTTTTGCCTCATCCTGTAAAGTGATTTATGAGAACCAGATAATTTCCTTTTTTTTTTCATGGCTTGTCGCTCCAATTTCTTTCAAAATGGCCCTTTACCTTATGCAACAATGCTCAGAAGTTTGCTTAATGTCCTTGTCTTTTAATGGATCAACATTGCATTAACTTATTGAAAAAAAGGGATACGTTTTGAAAATTGAAATTCAAATCATAACCGGAAAAGCTACTAAAACTTATTTTCTGATTGTATACTAAAAGAGTAAGGGGGGGGGGGTGTAAATTTGATAGTAGCTGCCTTAATATAGTTGTATTGTCTGCAGCAAACATCATGATAACTTGTCCAGTAGATCTGTGAAAAAGACTGGAACAAGAAATAAAAATTTAAAAAGGCAGAGAGCCTACAGTACTGAGACCAGTTCCTGTACATATAATAAAGTGACTAAGAATTGGATTTGAAATAAACTCACTTGGACTCACTGTCTTCAGAATTTAATTGTTGGATGACTAGATTATTTTCCTGCATTAATCTGTTTATTTTCGACACAGGACTCTCTGTATTACATGCATCTGTGGATGTGCAAGCTGTGTGGACGTGCGAAATCTCCATTGAAGATGAGCCTTGTTCTTCTGGAATTTGTATATTTTCAACATTTCTCTCTGACTCAAATACTTCACTGCTAGACAAGAAAGAAGAAGAAAAATAGGAATTAAGTATGTTGATGAAACAATTTACAAACAATCGTTTTAAATGGTGATGATCAAAAATCGAATTGAGAGATTGCAACTATGCACAATGCAAGAATGTAGCAGATCTGACTACAATTTCGAAACGGTAGATGACTCGAATGATTTATTACTGTGTCATCACTTTATTTTTTCTAAAAAAAAGTCAATACTTTCGATACGATAATATATATGTTGTTGAATTTTGGTCAATTTATCAAATCTGAAAAATGTACCGTTATCTATATTATAAAAATAAACTTTGGTGAAAATTATATGTAAAAAATAGAGTCAACATTTAGGCATTTGGAATTTGCAGCTGCTGTTTGTTTCAAGGTTGGAACCACTCATGAATCTATTTCTGCCTTTTATTGGAAAAGTTTTTTGCTGTTAAATTTGTCAGTAAAAAATTATGGTAGCCAACTTAAAGTTTTTAAGTCTAGTTTTAAATGTTTAATCATTACAATTGTAAATTTAATCAGATTTTATACCTTTCAGGTGGTACGGTGTCAGTTGAAGATGAAGTTGCAAGATGAAGAGTTGGCACAGCGTCTGGGCTTAAATGTCTTTGGCGAAGAGGAGACCACCCCATTATTCTGTCCATGAATTTTTTTCTTTTGACTAGATACTTCTCCTCAAAGTGTTTACTGCATATTCTCACTGCAAAAAAAGAAGATTGTTATGCTTCCCACATTAAAGTGCTTTAGTGAATAAAATTCAATAACTGGTAGATTTTGTACATAAATTATTCCTCCCTTTTATGAAATCAGCTATCTTGCCCTTGAATCCTGCTTTGCCTAGATAATGAGGAATGAAAAAACAAAAACTCTAAAAAGCTGCCAAATAAAAGTATTTCTCTCTCTTACCATGCATCCTGACAAGTTAAGGAATGCATCCAAAATATCCAAGAATTTCTTTATATTTCTTTCAAGAATTGCATTTTATTTCAGCTTCAATATTTTCTATTTATCATGCAGAGAAATCGTTGGGGCAGAAGAGGGGTCGCCAATCAGCTAATGTTTCAAATGTCATTCTCTGAATTAGTTTTGTTATGTCTATTGTTTCATTGATGTGATCGTTTATCATTGATGAAAGTAAGAAAATGTGTATAGCTATTGTAACATTTAAAAATTTTTGATAATACTTTATTTATTATAAGACAAACTAGTTAAAAAAATCGCTCTCAAATCTTCTTTAAAAATATTTGTACCACAAGTGAAAAAAATAAACAGGAAATCTCAAGAAAAACCACCTGTCTGTTCTTTGTATAAAATAAATCATAAGTGAAGACTTGCAACATTGCAATCAGAGTCACACGGTGTCTGACTTTAGCCATCAATGTTCTGATTTCAGATGAGACCCTAATTGAATTTTCAAAATTGTTGATTGCCACTACGTTCTAGCAAATAAGTAATTATGAATATAGGTAGTATCCTTCAACACATTTTGAAGAAGGTTTTTTTTTTAGTATAATTACTTCATCGAAAGAACAAAATATGCATCTGAACCAGTCCTATGTACTCTTGTAATTTTTTTTTTTAAAAGAAAATCCGGAGAAAACATCTTCTGAGTCTAAAAGAATGTTGGCACCAGACAGGAAAAGAAGAAAAAAAATTAACTCGTTGGTTAGCATGGAGTCTTATGGAGGAATACAAATTTAAACCTCTTTTCCTCCCCGCTCAAAGTTGATGCGACTATGTGGGTTTCTGCTGAATTCAGTCCTTTCCATCATTGCACTCGTTACTCTGTTTCACTCGGCCAAGGAAACTTTTTCTGCAGAGCTAACTGGAGTTGATGGGGTACTTGGTGGTGTTTTCTAGCATGGATCGATGCGCTTTCATTCTAATGATGCCTGCTGTTAGAACTGGGAAGCTTGTTATAATGAAGACTGCTTTCTGCATCCTGTCAAAACCCCCACGACACCCCATTAAGGAGGCGCATGGTATATTGCAAAATATATTGCCATCTTAAGGAAAAACGCTGTATTAACATTCCAGAGTTGACAAATTTCCTCCATTAGAATTTTTGTTTTTGAGGAAACTTAAGAATATTTTTCCTTGAAATTTTCAGGAGCTTTAGATGAAATTGCGAACCAACTATCTGAATAATTTGAAGAAAAATATTCAAAAGTTTACCAAGAAATTCAGTTTTTAGCAATAGAAATTCGGCAACGTCGAAAGGTTCATACTGTGCTCTTCCCTAGGACGGTAGCATAGGTACCTGCTCTTATTCCCCATAGTAGAGAAATTTTTCTTTCTTCAAGAGTGCACGTAAATAGTGCGTAAGAGTGCCGTTTCAGGAGACCATTTTTTTGTAAGGTAGTTGAACTTATCGAGTAACATGAATTAATGCCATTTACGGCTAATGAAGGTAAAAATATGTGTACTTACAATCCTTCTTGTCCTGCTGGATGGAACAGGCCTTTAGCCACCTGCGCCTCATTTGCTCATTCCGTGGAAATTGGAAAAATTTTACGCCATCCTCTTTGTGCTTGCTGTGGCTATTGCACACACTACATTTCACCATTTTCACTCTCAAACACACACACTCTCAAAGAAGAAAAAATATGCATGAAAACGAAGAAAGAGAACTAATTGCACTTACACTTGCACTTTGTTTACAAAATTTGAAGTCAAAAACAAATGAAGGGGTTAACATTCACGCGACTTTTCAATAACCGTACCCCTCCCGCCTGAATGTCCGCGAAACCCACCCGCTGACTCGCGATTCCCGCGTTCCGCCGATTGTTTTAACAGCTGATTTGTTGCCACGTGCTTTCTCGATTTTTTGCATCATCAATCCAAACTCCCCGAAAGTAAAATGGAAATAATAATTGGATTTTGAAAATAACTATGACCAAGACAGATTCCTGGACTTACTTACCTTTTCTTCAGTTGTGCTAGGAAGGGCATTCTGCTTGATTAAGTAAGATGAGGAATTTAAGATAATATGATGATAAAAGACATCCGAAAAAAAATTCTAAATGTGTTCAATCAATAGATATTTTCATAAGTTGTTACAATAAATAATGTGTGCATAATAAATTGCTATTAATAGCATCAGTCTGCCTGCGCGCAACTCGCACGAGACGCGTCAATTCAAACTTCGCGCTACTCGGGGTCCCACTAGTACGTCATCAACATGGCGCTGAAATGGGTGATTGTACCAACCTCCTTTTAATCAACCTTGGGGGTTTCCGGTGATCAAAAAAATCCGGAAAAATTCCTGTGACATCAGGAGCCTTAGTTCTTTCGATTAAGCAATAAAAAAAAAAAATGGTGCAACAGGCCCACTGTCTTGCTTGGTTTAATACAGGCGTAGCGAAGCAAGTCTGGAACGCCGTTCGAGTCAAAACCTTTTTTCCGGCGCGCGGAATAGAAAAGGCCGTTTTTCTTCGAAAAATTCTGATTTTCCAGATTCTTCACCCAAGAGGTATATGCATTTCCCATAAGAATTGGGCCCAGAACAGAATCTGGATTGCATTTAGCAAAAAGGAACCACTAGCATTGCTGCTAAGATTGTGCAACTTCATCCTTTGCAATAATATTGCGGAAATTGTGAAAAACTATGTAATTTAGATGGTAATTGTTGTCTTAAATTTACAGTTTTTAGCGAGTAAACTAGAAACTATTAAGGGATAATCGAGTTTTTCCTCCAAGACGAAAGGAGTTTCACAATCTTAGCAACATTGCAATGCTAGTGGTTCCTTTTTGCAAAATGCAATCCATCTTGTCATACCTTCACCATTTGTAAAGGAAGGTCACAGAAGCTTAAAAATGGCAGAGTTTTTGATCCAGCCCCCCGTGGGGAGGGTGGACGGGGGGGGGGGGTCAAGGAAAAATCAACTCTTGGTCATAACTTTTGAACGGTTGCAGCTGTATCAAGTTGAACTTTTTTTAAATGAAAGAACAAAAAAAGACCTTTCTATACAATATAAGTAATTGACAATCGGTTAATTTTTGGCTAAGTTATGGCTCATCAAATTTTTTGAAAAATTTTAATTTTAGATTTTTCAATTTCTCAACGTGAGGGGTCGCACGAAATGTAATGAATATGTGTGCAAAAGATAGCCCTTGTTTGTCTCTTTAAAATGCGCTAGAAGAGATGTTGGGGAAATGATTAGTTTCGGAGTTATGCTTTATCAAAGTTGACGCGACAGGGTCCCAGTGGCGTGCAGTGGGTTCAGTGATAGGGCAAGCTCTAGCGTTCGCCATCGGAGGGGGGGGGGGTTAACGTAGCCTCTTTCCCTTCCCCCTCCCCCTAGCCTCCCTAGAAAATTCTTAAAATTTTACTCTATTTGCTCTATTTTTCGGATGAAATCTGATGGAACGTATCGTCTTGAAAAACTGTATTTTTATTTCTTTCTCTCTTATTTATGATTTCGTTTACTCAACTTGTTTCGAATGTTATTGAGCATTAGAGGACGGCTCCTTACTCATAACTCCTAATTTTGCCACTTATTTGAGGTATTATAGTCTTTATTCTACAGCATTAAAATTTTTTGAGTTACTTAAATTTCCCCCCTAAAAAAGGCTTTCTGCATTTAAAACATGATTGAGAATTGTCTAATTCATCACCAATTAGATCCAAGTGAGCGAAATTTTATAGAATATAAAGGCATTTGCTCCGGAGGAATAATTACAACCGCGACGGAAAGAGGGAACAGGATAGCGCATCGGAGGCAGAGGCAGCGCGCTGCGGTGACGGGCCAAGAGGTGGCCAAGAGAGGCGAGCTGCGATCGCGCAGCGAAGGGCTCGGACTCGGAACGTACCGCGCTCCCCGCCTGCCTTGATTCCGCCGCCGAGCAGTGGCTCTCCGCTCAGCTGATCGCAAGCGACTCTCCAGCGCATGAGTTGGCCCGTGTTCAGGCCGCGCAGCGCGCTGCGCCACCTCCATCCGCTCTGCCGCTTTCCTACTTTGGTGGCTCTATACGTATTTCTGTCTCCCTCTCTTTCTGTTTTAATGCAATTTTCTTACTGAACGCATTTTATAAATTATATTTGCTAAAATGTAAAACATTTAATAGGTGTAATTTTCTTCTTTCTTTTGAAATCTTTGGGCAAGCAGTGCTTGCCTTGCTTATCCGGACCGCACGCCACTGCAGGGTCCGTATATGGGCCCCGGGCCAGAGTCCCGCAGCTGCGACCGGGAGAACCCTGTTTCACGCTGATCTCTGTAATTTTTTGACATTTTACAGCTATTTGACCATTTAGTAAGCATACATATAAGGATGAATATGCCATATAATTTCCCTTCCCCCCTTTTATTATTTTAACTAAACCATTCTGGGATTTAGAAACGGCGCACTCGCGATTGGCACAGCGGTGCATCCAGAGTGAGTTGGAGGGGATCGGGGGGCATTTGCTGATGTCAAATGGGGGGTCTGAGGGATACCCCTAGAGGAAGGGAGTTTTCCGGGGGAGACCCCCCTTCCTTTAAAAAATGTTCCGTTTCCAAATTCCAGAATGGTGTAGATGAAATAAATTGCCTCTGGAAATAAAAAAAAGGGGGGAAGAGAAATTATACATGGCATATTCATCCTTATATGTATGCTTACTAAATGGTCAAAAAGCTGTAAAATGTCAAAAAATTACAGCGATCAAAGTGAAACAGGGTGCTCCCGGTCGCAGCTGCGGGACTCGGGTCCGGGGCCCATATACGGACCCTGTCGCGTCAACTTTGAAAAAGCATAACTCCGAAACTAATCATTTCCCCAACATCTCTTTTAGCTCATTTTAAAGAGACAGACAAGGGCTATCTTTTGCACACATATTCATAACATTTCCTCACGTTCAAAAATTGAAAAATCCAAAATTAAAATTTTTCCAAAAATTTGATGAGCCATAACTTAGCCAAAAATTAACCGATTGTCAATTTCTTATATTGTATAGAAAGGTCTTTTTATGTTCTTTTATTTAAAAAAAAGTTCAACTCGATACCTGCAACCGTTCAAAAGTTATGACCAAGAGTTGATTTTTCTTTGACCCCCCCCCCTCCCCAGGGGGGGCTGGATCAAAAACTCGGCCATTTTTGAACTTCTTTGACCTTCATTTACAAAAGGTGAGGGTATGACAAGATTCTGTTCAGGGTCTAATTCATATGGGAGATGCATATACCTCTTTGTTGTGTCTTCGATATATCTTCGCGAAGTTAGGTTAGAGCTGAATCAGAATGGCGTAAGTAGTGTTGTTCAATGGCATATAATAATTAGAGTACATGTATAGCGAGAGTATGGACAGATCGCTTCATGGAGGTCTTAGGGCCCAAAAGTGCAGCCATCTTTCTGATCAACTTCTAACACACTAAATTTCACTGCCAGTCTGCAGAATCTGCAGTTTCTCATTCTAACCAAGATGGCCAAGAATGTACAGAAATGAGCATTCATCCGCAAAAATGAGCAAATTTATGCAACAACTGAGTCAAATACTTGCTTTATAAACGACGGTTCGTAACAATAGTATTAGTAAATCGTTCTGGATAATTTAAATTCATAGGTTGGGTGAATTTCTGGGCCCTAACTTTATTCGCAGAAGCATCGGTGAAGGCCTGATGGATTTTCGGAGTTTCACATCTGTCCATACTCTCGCTATACAGGTACTCTAAAAATAATAATAAAATTTACATGTTCTCATTACTTTTTAACGTCCATTTGACAAATATCTGCACTGACCGTGTATCGGCTCGTAAGTTGTCTTCACTTCTTCAGTCCTCTCGTCTCAACGGTTAAGGCACCAATCATCAAACTGATGCCAGACTTACGCTCATGCCGCAATCACACGCTGAATATAGCAGCTGAATGTGGAAGTCAACAGTCATCGCCCAACGGCTGAAATTTCGCTAATTCGAGTTATTTTCATCCAGATGTGTGTCAAATCCATTTGAATAGCTCAGGCAAATCCAACATTAGTCCAATGGTTGCTGAGAATCTTTGTTCGGCATCGGGCCGATGACTTCCACATTCAAGTCACATTCAGCGTCTGATTGCAGCATCAGGCTGATCGTGTATTCATGCCTCATTATTGACAGGGCTGCCACTTTATTGGGGGACTCTACAACTGAAACTACGGCATCATTGCTAATGTATACAACAATTTTGCTTCAGGGGTTCCCAAAGCTCGAAAATAGGCCCCGTCTCCACAACACCAAACAACTTGGAGCAAAATGCGATTGTTGCTTGTTTTTACAACATGTTGCGAGTGTTGCCACCGAACAAAATACGACTCATTTAAGGTTATATGACTTTCGAAATAGATGCTGGTTGGATGCCATCATCTTCATCAGGTCATTTCTACAGGCCTTGATACACGATCCAATTCCCGAACCGATTACCATCAAAGTATCGGGAGTCATCAGTATTAAAATCGTTACTTCGCTTAGTTTTCAAATGAAAACCTGGCAGAAATGCTTCATGCGGCAAGAAATGATGAATGGTGGCACTCCATTCTGATCAAAATTTGACAGCCCGTCCAATTTTGATCAAAGAGAACTTTTGAATGGTGACCATCAGTAATCGACTGGTCTACTTTGATCAGAATTGGTTCGGAATTTGATCGTGTATCTAGACCTCAACCCTTACTTTTTGTAGGATTGTATTTTGGCTCCAACGTTTGCAAGAATTTCACCCTCTATCTGTCTGGTGAGTCCCAATGTTGGTCCGAAAAATTAGGATTGCGTCAAAATAAAATTCGATATCTTATGATCCACCCATTTCGACTCGACCGATTATCAACAAACATAATGCTTTAGGCCGACTGCACACACAGCAAGTAAAGACCTGCAAGTGGCACATCGGTGCCGCTGTGTTGAGTTTTGATCACTGCAAACTGCGCGGCCCGCGCAGTTTGCACGATCACCGATGTAACTGACAAGCCACTTGTAGGTCCCCATTTGCTATGAGTGCAGTCCGCTTTATAGAGAAAATCGAGCATGACCATCTGCAGGAAAACCAGACAACACGAATGTCAACAAAAACCCCTCTCTTGTCGATGATGAGTGCGGTGACATTATGACGCCTACCAAAAATCCTGGCGGGAAATTCGAATAAGGCTGGCTCCTTCAATTTTATCGATCTACAAGGATCATATAATTTACTTATCATCACTCTTCTTTTTACTTCTAACATATGGTGGACCGATAAAACTGTAATTACCAGGTTTATTCTATTCTTAATTGAATTTTTAGAATACGTCATTCATTAAAATTTTGTCTGAGGGACTGAGTATGATTACGTGCAGAAAAAAACAACAATTTACGAAGAACTATATTTAACTTCTAATCTAACCTAATCTGACCTAACCTAACATGACATTAAAGTCGCTCATGTAAATGTAAAGTCGCTACTGTGATCATAAAATTGTTAGGGTTATCTTAAAGTTGCTAACGTCATCCTAAAGTTGCTAGCGTCATCCTAAAGTCGCTCATCATAAAGTCTTTGACGTCAAGTCCTGAAGTTGCTAATGTAATCTTCAAAGCGCCGATGAAAACTCATGAGTCATAAAAAGTAGAACGTATAAACGTAAGGGAGGGTTTGGAAACTTTCCGACGACTAGAATTTTCTAATTCCCTTCTAGTTTTGAGATAAATATAATAAATATTTGAAACCTTGCCCACATCAATTACTTAAGATTAAAGGAGAGGCTGTAATGTTTTCTGCAGTATATTCCTGTACATTTGTATTACATTTTCAGAATACACGCAAGGCAAATTGCACATAAAACTTCATCCAATCAAAGCTAAGGCACAGTGCAGAGGTTGGATCTAAGATCGCCGATCAAACAATTATCCAATCAAATGAAAGGAAGTTTCCAACCTCCGCAAATGTATTGATGAAGGATGTGTACTTTGCTGCAAGGCCACTGTGTGATTCTAAGTGCCACAAGAGTCAGGTGCGCAGAAACGAATTAACACATAAATTCAACAGTACAATTTTTCAGTCTAAATTATCATTTTGATAATATTATATAATTACTACCTTTACATTTACACACACACACACACCCTCACACACACACACCCACTCACACACACTGTCCTCCTATTGTGGGGAGGGAGGGAAGTGCTTCTACCTATATCAAAATTCCCTTTCATGAGTGTGTAATAATGATATCAAAGTTATAAAAAGTAAAGCCATTAAGTATTCAGGCAAAATGTTTCACCACTTCGGCAGGTCTTTTAGAGGTAAACCATCATTGGGCGCTGATTTTTGGGGCTGGACCTTCTTAACCTCACTAGGAAAATGTAAGAATTGCTAGAGCCTTCTGACCAATGAAATCATTGGCGGGATAGTAATGTAAATGGTTCACATTTGTGGGTAATGATGTTATTGGCTGCAACAAATCCACTATATGCATATCCGCAAAAATCAATGAGAATCATTTCGTGATGTCCTCATCATAGAGTACAGAGAGAGACTCTGTCGATGGCGGACAACTTAGACGGTTTTGGTCGCTTGCCAGGACTATGGTTTGCTGCAAGGTTCCTTCTTTAAATGAGGTAACTTACAGAATATCACAATTCAAACCTTTCTTACAGCTTTCATAACTTAAAATATAATTTGCAGCATGGCAAAAGCCAATAAACATTTTTTTTAACCTTTTTTTCATTATATGTTAGCATGTCCTGCATAAGACCTTGTCTCCACGGGCCAGCTCACGGGATTTGGCCCGGAGAAAAATCCCACTTACAAAGTTGGGAAAAATATTGAGTTAATCAATATTTTTCGCAGTACCAAGTATGGTCCTTGTACCCATAGGACCCACAAAGAGAGGAAGAAGAAGTGAAAACGAATTGTGCTATATTTAGTTGATTACTCCAATGGTTCATGTTTGTTTAGTTAAAATAATGTGTCTAATTGTCAATTGAGTGCATTATTATTTTAATCTCGGTTAAATACTCGACTTTATCTAATTTATCTTCCCGCGCAAACTAGTCGCAGGACCGTATGAGCCTCGTCCCGTGGAGACGGTAACTGGGAAAAATCCCAGAAGTTTCATTCCTGCTACTTGAACTTGGGAAAAATCCCCTGAAAACGTCCCGTGGAAACAAGGCCTAAGCCATCATTATGCAGTCCTCCTCACATTCAGGCATTCACTGTGCGTCATTACATTGAACTTTAATTTTTATTTTACGATTTACATCACAGAGGTGGGAGAGAGAAAATTATGAACTGATAATGAGCTTATACAAAAAGTTCTGGAATGAGACTTGATACTGAATAAAGAATGATTCTACCAGATAGAATCACAAATAATTCGCAGAGTGAGATGGTCACCGCCAACTGCTGAATGAACTGCCTCTGAAAAAGACAAGAAAAGAAAAAAATACATTAAAACATTTCAAGCGATTTAGCAGATAAAAATTTGCATTATTAGATCCAACCCAATCCCGGCAAAACATATCAAGAGAAAGGTAAGTAATAGACCCAATGTTACATTCAGCATATTCCATACACATCAAAACAAGATTTGTCGACGGTGTATTTCGTATGTCTTAATGTTTGCACCATCAGGGGGTTGGGCTGCAGCCGAGCAGTCCCTTAGCTATAAATATTTTCCATCAGCACTGCAAGCGGAAGTTGTATTAGGGAACATCGAGTCCAATTTTAAAAGTGCTAAAAAATTGCTCCCTAAATTTTTCAGGGCAGTGAGCAGAGAAAATAGTTATTGTGGGATGCACCAAGAGGCAGGGCGGAGGAGATTGAGACTGCCAAGTCTAAGGTCCATTTCACCAGCCCCCCCCACTTCCAAAAAAAAATAGGAAAAATATGCCATCGTTTTGTAAGTGTTTTGTAACGTTTTGTAAGTCTAAAAAAAATTTGTAAGTCACTCCAAATGGTTCAAATGGATACCTTCATTTTAGGGGGGGGGGTGGAGAGATGGTATCCCCCCACTTCGCGATCCATAAATTCTGACAACGTCAACGTTTTGTAAGTCCAAAAGAACATTTTGTAACTGAATTTTTAGGGGGGGATACGGCTACCAAAAATTTTGGGGCCGGCCCCCCCCCCCCCACCACTTTACGATCAATAGATTCTGAAACCGCCAACGTTTTTTAAGTGTTTTGTAACGTTTTGTAAGTCCAAAAATAATTTTATAACTCAATTTTTAAGGGGGATACGGCTTTCCAAAATTTTGGGGTCAGCCCCCCCCACCCCACTTTGCAATCGATAAATTCCGATAACGCCAATGTTTCGTAAGTGTTTTGTAAGTCCAAAAATAAATTTTGTAACTCAATTTTTTGGGGGGATACGGCTACCAAAAATTACCAGGGTCAATCGCACCGTTCAAATATCCCGCGCAAAGACCACCGGATCTCTCGCCCGGATCTTTCTCGCCTCCGTGCCATGTTGCCGCAGCCTTTCAACCTTTCCGACCGTTACAGTGGGGCAGAGATAAATCGTGTTCCTCCGCTGCTCAGGGTTACACTAGGTTAGGTTATAGATTTTCTTCCCCGATTTTTGTTCTCACGGTTTGGAGAGAAGCGTATATTATTCAGCTAAAATTAAGAGGGGTCAGGCCGTTTACATTTCATGGGCACTTGAAAATCCGGTTGTTTCGCTTTAGACAGGAGATGGACCAACGAACATAGTCTGAATTAAATAATGAACGGCACTTATTTTCTCTTCAAAATTTATTGTAAAACATGATGCACACAACGAGAGGTTCGGAAATCAACTTCTGAACGGGATACTCTTGAGTATTTTTAAGTCAAATCAGATGATGGTTCAACGGTACAAATGATGCCATTTATATTTTTTCCCTGAAAAAAATTCCTTTATGAAATTGATTGATTTCCGAAATTTGATTTGCACATCCTCCGTTGCTTTACTTTTGAATATGTTATCGTGCGCTTTATATCGGTTAACCAATACGAAAATTACTACCCAGCTCCAAAGGTTTCTTGTGCAGCTATCCTAGAGAGTTTTTTACGTTTTTTAAGCCCCAGAAATGTTTTGTATTTCACTTTACGAGGGGTACTTGGCCTCCTGAAATCTATGGGCCATTCTCTTCTCATTAGGATCGATTAATATTAACAATGGAAATGGTTTGTAATTGTTAAGTGACGTCTTATAAGACGAAAAGAAAATCAATTTGTAACTCAATTTTTGGTGGGTATGTGGCCCCAAAAAGTTTGGACATCTACCCTCCCCTCAACTTTAAAACCGATAAATGTTGACGATGCAATAGTCTTCTATGTGTACGAACTGTTTCAAGGAGTAATTCAAGTTTTTCATTGGTGAAAAACGAAATTAGGCAGGTAGGCACGAAAGTCGTCTTAATTCTTGAGTATTATTACTGGAGAACTCGCAAATCGTAGAATGGAGAACACCGGTATTTTAACCCTTAGATGACTAACCGGGTCTACGAGGCCCGATGGCTTTTTATTTTTCGAACCACATTCGCTATAATTGGCCGAAAAGTCTGTCCTTCACAAATACGAGGTCTGTTAGATTAGAAACCGGATTTTGGTTATAACTAGCCTACAATGCGTCCGAATTACGTTTTCTTGAGCTTTCCTGATGGCTGGAAATATATTTAAGAACGCTAAGTTCACAAATTTGAAAAATCCTAATTAGCTTCGATGGTATGTGGCTTGAAGTAAGGCAACCTCACGGGTGTTCGCGATTTTTATGTTTGACCGAACTTGTATCTCTTTTTTCGGTCTTGCACTACATTTTTCAACCCACAAGGATGATTGGAGTTTCGTCTCCATATCGTAGCCGTACACTCAAGTATTGTCACCAAAAATTATCCTATCCAAAAATGTAGGATCATTGTTAGAACGTTCAAGTAGCTGAAGGGAAATTGACATTTGGTTGGATTTTTGTTCAACGGACAACAATCAAGAGGCAAGTGTACCTGAAACTCGATGCATGCCTACATATTCTATCAAAATTGTATGCACAGAGCCTTCAGAAATGTTGCACTGTTCGACAAGCTCAAAGCGACCATTTTCGAGCACTTTTGCCCGTACTTTTTCCACGTAACAAATGTCAGTTGCCATTGATGGTCGATTCCCATGCTCCTCATCTTCGACGAACTCCTGACCAGTTTTGAATCGTTCAACCCACTCAAAACGGTGGGAACAACTCATACAATGATCTCAGTAAACTTTACTTGGCATACCAAAAGTTTCGGTACAAGGTATACTGAGTTTAATACAAAATTTAATATTGAATCTTTGCTCTATCAGTGATCGCATGATGAAAATCGCAAAAACGCACCTGACTTACTTGTATTCAAGATGACACAGAATAAACATTGATCAAAATAATCAAAATCTGTGAACATAGCGTTCTTAAATATATTTCCAGCTATCAGGAAAGCTCAAGAAAACCTAATTTGGACGCATTGTGGCCTAGTTATGACGAGAATCCGGTTTCTAATCTAACAGACCTTGTAGCTCTACAGAAACCTTTAAAAACATAATTCTTGAACACAAATATTCGACATTTTTTTTTTAGACAGCAATTTTTGTTTCCCGTCTACCCCTGGAATGACTAATCGAGGTCTGCAAGGCCCATATTGAGGCAAATTTTGGTTGTTAAAGTGAATTATAAGATAAAAGTGGGAAAAAATTTCTTGTCAAGTTTTCAATGGATTCTCTGAGGTTTTGCTGTAGTTTTTTTAGCTGAGAAGCGGTCATGGCGGTATTATACTGTCTGAGAATACTGTCGAAGTACCGTGCTATATTTTCTTACAACTAAAAGGTAACCCTTTTACATACTCACCGTTTCACAAGAAGTATTAGGTGCTTTTTAGGTGCTTCTTGTGATACAATAAATATGTAAAGGCGTTTCCTTTCAATTGTGAGAAAATATCGTATGGTTTTTTAAAATCGTTTTTTCTTAGAAATCTAATTTCAAAGAGGTGTGTGAAAAAACGGCCAAAAATGCCTCAAGGCATTTTCGAATTTTGATCACTTGGGGTGATACAGTAGCTTCCGAGACACCCAAAACCGGTCGCCGTTTTGCTTAGAAGCGCTGGGTTGCGACGTTGCCATTTGTTAAAGTGGAAACCTTTAAAAATCCATATCTCCGCCGCATCTCAACCGATTTCAATGAACTTTTTTTAAAATGTTCCTCTTAAATAGAGCTTTCTAGTGATGTATAGTTTCTTGGGGTTTACTTGGCTTTAAGTGGCACTTAAGCGGTATTAGCAGTTTTTGATAGACACAAAAATTTAGTTGTTATTTTACCACGATCGGTGCTTTAGAAGTTTCATACGATTATATGTGGCCAATGTGAATAAATATCGGGGGAAAATGTGCGTAAAATGAGGGGGGGGGGGATAGTGATCGGAACTGCTTGATTTATAAATGCGGATGAAGAATTAAAAATAAAATGTTACGTGATCATGCGGAAAATAAAAAGTCGAGGATCGAACCCGGAACATCACTATCATGGAACCAGTACGTGTGCAGTAGGGCTCCGGACTCCGCTGAAACCTTCAGGCCGATAAAGCGGTACAAGAGGCTGCTTCAGTGTTGCCAAGCGCCGCACGACCAAATCACACGCCGAAAACGCAACTTTTGGGAATTTTTTACGCCCTTCCTATTGCGCATTCGGGAAAACGGCTCAACTTAACCTCTAGAATTGGTCCATAGAGTCTGTAAAAAAAAATTCAGCCCAATCGGAGGCAGCAGGTCCGTAAGTTCCCCTTGTGAGTGTAAACAATGCGACATCGTAGCTACCTGGTGGGGAGAGGGGGTTTCCTGGCCGAAGTGCTCGAGCAAGGTAAGGCGACGGCGACGCGGAGCGCCCATTTACCTCCGCCGCACAGAAAATAGTCCGGGTTCAATCGCGAATATCTCAGCTTCTACTCGTAAAAGTGAGCTAATTTTGTGGCTTTCCCTTAATTATGAGCTTTATAACAATCTATTAAAGTTTCATCAACTTTCATCGAGAGCCGCTGAGCCCATGCTCTGTGCGGGGTTCTTTGCGTGAATTCTTGGCATTTTGAAACCGTCAATTTTATTTGATGATCTTTTTCTCCACATTGTCAGTGGAAAATTCTATAAATTCTTTTTTTAAACAAGTTCTTACGTTCCTTCTATATTTTTGAAGTTTAGATTTCATAAGTAAGTAAATCAAGTAATTTGAAAAGCTAGCCTTGTAATGAAAAAAATAATTTGATGAATGCGGAATAGTCTCCTCAAAATAGAAAGTGAAAAAAGGGAGAAAAACAAAGGTTGCAAGGGGAAAGAATTATTTTTTACTAAAATCAGGAAACTACTAACCATTAACATAATTTTTTTTCGCGCAGAACTTACTTTTTTCTTTTAAGGCCAACTTTC